ATGGGTTTGCCCTCTGATGGGGTCAATCTCAGTCTCCCAAGAGTGAGTTGTTATAACAATAGCCTGATCTCCAAATCCCTTTGATCTTCCTGTTTGATGACATAATCTCTCCCTGTCATAAATTCCTGTCATCAGCCACAGAGCCTTCACCAGAGTCAGCAGCAGTGTCTGAACTTTCAGCCTCCAAACTTGTGACTTTACATACCATTTGTCTTCATAAAGTTAGTCTGCCTCAGGTATTTCCTTATAGTAATGAAAAACAGATTAATACAGTGCTAGTGGTGGAAATGTAAATTAGCAAAGCCATCACTAGAAATAATATAGAAATTCCTCAAAAAAAAAAAAAAAACTAAAAATAGCCAGGTGTTGTGCTAAGGCAGGAAAATCACCGTGAGTTCGAGGCCAACCTGTTCCATATAGTGGGTTCAAGGCTAGCCTGAAGTGCATGGAGAGACTCTGTCTCAAAAAACAAATCCAAAAATAGAGCTATTGTGTGATCCAGCAATTTTCCCTCTACTTACATATATCCAAAGAAAATGAAATCATTATATCAAAGAGGTATTTGCACTCCCGTGTTTATTGCACCTCTCTTCACAATAGCCAACTGCCTTGGTCACCTTCCTCATGGCTGAGACGCAATACCTGACCCTGCAGCTTCAGGGAGAGGAGGTTTAATTGGCTCAGGGTTATAGTCCCTGGGCAGGGTCGACATGGCAGAGGAGTGGAGCAGAGGAAAGCTGCTCGCAGCAGTCAGGAAGCAGAGTGAGCAGGGAGGAGCCAGGGAGCGACATAGACCCTTCCAGACCACACTGCAGTGACCCTCCTTCAACCAGACCTCACCTCCTAACAGCAAGTCAGCTTACATTTCCCCACACCCAACCACCTTCCACACACATGAGACTGTGGGGCCATTTTAGGTCTAAACCGTAACTAACATAAGGGTCTATCAGCAGATGAACGAATTTTTAAAAGGTGATGTATATATACACAATGGAACATTATTCAGCCATAAACAATGAAATCTTTTGTGACAACATGGAAGGAACAGAAATCATCAAGTTATGTGAAATAAGTGAGGCACAGAAACATTCTCATTTGCCAAAGTTCAAAACCACAGTTGAATTTGTCAAAGAGAACAGAACAGATCTTCTCTTAGACTAACAACAAACTTGGCCTGTAAGTCAGAGGGGATACTCAAATCACACAAGTGAACAAATAGAACTAAACTGTCCCTTAGAGACAAACACATTTCCATTCAAAATTTCTAATAATTTCAGTTAACAATGAAGATAGGCAATGAATGTGAATGGCCCACAGTTGCTATGGATTTGTTTTTGTATTTGTTTTGACATCCCCAAATCCCTGCCTGAAAAGAAAATGGAGCTAGAATAACAAACACAGAACCCCACAAACAACCTCTACAATTAATCTGGGCTGCAAAGTATACCCACAAACCCAAAATAGAGGTGTTCAGGGCAAGCTCCTACAAGCTGAGAGCACCATGGGATAAAGAATCATGAGGAAGGGGCAAGGATGGGTCTGAGAACCCCAAAAGCACAGCCCATCTGGCACTGCTGATGGGCTCTCTGCAGACCACAGGTGTGAACATGGAGACCCCAGTAGGATCAAACCATGTAGGTGTCCCTGGGCCCAGGAAGCCATCCACAGTAACACAACAGCGCTACCAGGACAACTGGGGAGAAAATCCAAACTGATTAGGTGAGGACCAAAGGCTGGGGCAAAGGAGAGAGGTCAGTTAACAGCAGGGAGGGGCCCGAAGGGCTGGGGCTCAGAAAGCAGAGGCCAAGTGCTTAAACCCTGGAAGGAAGAACCCAGCTCAACTTTCTCCGCTAATGGGACAGAAAATGCATTTTACCTACACCTGAGCTGTAGAAAAGCATTCCATGTAGATATTGCACTAAATCCATGTAAGTATACCATATGTTCATTTCATGTAAGTATCCCACTAGTGCACGTGAGAGAAGAGGGAGAAGGAGTACACATGGCTAAGACCACGAAGGTGCCTACCGGTGACAGCTGCCTCACCCAAAAACTGCTTGCTTTGCATTTCAAGGGGAGCTAAAATAAACAAAACGATAGAATCTGTGGAAGGACATCATGAATCAGAGGCAGAAAAAAATCCAAACTGATGTGATTGAAGAAAAAGATAATAAGAAAATAGTAGAGAGAATCAGGTGTGAAAAAAAATTTTTTTTTGTTACTGGGAACAGAACTCAGGACCTCACACTTGCCAGGCAGGCGTTGTGCCACTGAGCTATATCCCTGCCCTGTGAAGTTATTTTAGAAGAGAAAGCCAAACTGGAGGAAACAGGACAGCAAATAAACATGGTGGGTAACATCTTCGGTGAAGGAAAAGATAAAAACACAAAACTTTAAATCTGAACAAGACAATGCAAAAAAAACCCTAGGGTTGGATGCAACTGGGCATGCCTGTAATTTCAGCTACTTGGGAGGCAGAGGCAGGAGAATCCCAAACTTGAGGCCAGCATGTACAACTTAGTGGGACTCTGTCTCAAAATAAAAATAAAAAGGGCTGGGGATGTGGCTCAATGGTAGATCACACCTAAGTGCTATCCCTAGTACCACAACAGAAAAAAAAAAAAAAAAGAATTCAAGGAAAAGCAGCAAGAGATAAATTAAGATCATATGTGCACCTTGAAATACTCCTCTCCTCCTGGTAAAAATGCCCCGTGGGGATTGCCAGCCAGTGTAAGATCTCTGTGCCATCAACAACACAGTCATCACCTTGCACGCTGTGACTCCCAACCCTGCTTGGACTACTACGATCCTCAGACAGGAAGAAAAAACCCAGCTCACTTGGACTCAACTGCCACAAAGGTTTAAGAACTCTCCCACTATGTTGGGGAAGACTCTGACAACAGATTTGCCAAGCCGCCAGCACCTTTTCTCCGAGACAGCCTGATTCTCTGTCTCCTTCAGCTCCATCACTGTCCCCCGAGAAAAAAAAATGAGGCTTCAAAACCACAAAATGTTTATAGACTGTCAAACTGCTAAACTGCCTATAATAAAACCCAGTGGGGAACAGCATTCAGTTCAGGATCACCGAGCTGTCAATGTCACAGTGATTTCCCTCCATATATGTTGCCTCAGGCTTCTGCCACCACAGCCTGCTGGTATACCTACCTGGACCTAAAGAATGCATTCTTTTGCCTTCAACTGGCTCCTGTCAGCCAGCCCCTCTCTGAAAGACCCCAGTTCTGAACTCAAAAGTCAACTAACTTGGACTCAACTTGCAGAGGGTCAAAAACTTGTTCACCCTCTTTGAAGAAGCCCTCATAGCTGACCTCACTAGTTTCCCAGCACAAAATATCACTGCACTTACACCAAAGTTCTGCTGCAATATCTGGCAAGAACTAGCTACAAGGTTTCTTGGGAAAAGGTGTAATCTACAAACAAAAAGTCAAATATCTTGGATTTGACTTAAAATAGGGATGCCATGCCCTTAGACCAAAAGAAGAGGTCATCTGTGCCATCCTGGTCTCAACTTCAAGAAAGAAACTCTGCAAATTTCTTGGAGCTGCTGACTTCTACAGAATCTGGATCCTTGAGTTAAAAAAAAAAAATGAAGCTTACTCAGTCTGTCATCTCCTGGGAGCACCCAACTGCCTACCTGTGCAAATACCTGGATCCAGTCACTAATGACTGCCTCCCTCTTTGCCCGCATGCTCTAACAGCCACTGTCCTTCTGATCAAGAAAACTGACAAGCTCACCTTAGGCCAAGACCTAACTGTCCAGGTGCCACATGCTGTATTGGCTTATACAAAAATTCTTGCCTGACTCTTGTGGCAATAAACCACTCAATCCTACCACATACCTGCCCAACAAGCTGGGCCTACCAGACCATGACTGCCTGGAACTAACTGATGAACTGTTCTTGAGCTGACCAGATTTAAAAATAAACCCCCTGACAGATGCTGAGTACACCTTGTTTATGGATGGAAGTAGCTCTACTAGGAATGGAGTCTGACAGGCTAGATATGCTGTGGTCACCTTGGACAAAGTTATTTTGGCCAAGGCTCTCCCACAGGGATAGTCTGTACAACAAACTCATATAGGCATACAACTGATCTGAAAACAAAAGGGTATACTGCTTCCTGCTGCTGTTTGGAAACCCACCAAAACAATTAAAAAAAACATAACATCTCGTGCCTGGTCAGCATCTGCTCTACTGTCTGCCAATAACAATGGGCTTACATTTGTAGCAGAGATAACTCAAAACCTGGCAGAACTATTAAAAGGAATAAAAACATAACTCTACAAAAACAGCTTGAAACTAGCTCCATAAAAGTTTTGCTAAAAGACCAGCTATTTCTGTAGACACCCCTGCAGACACATATAATTCAGGTGCATATTAACTACCTCAAGAGCTCTTAAAGTTTCAGAAATCCAGCCTTAGATCCACCATTCCAGAGCTGAAAGAGCCCATCCAGACGGTTGATAGAGAGTTGGCCTGGGGCAGACAGCTCTTCTGAAGCTCACTCTGAAGAGACAATGCACTCAAAGCCCTGCTCTGGTCACTCTGGATGCTAAAGCTTGAGGATGCCATTCACAGGATTGCTCCATGCCTCGATGCAGTACTTCCCTTTATTTTTGTCCCTTTTCAGGATTTGATACTGTATTGTTTGCTCCCTGCTCTTTTGCTAGCTGTGTTTTTTGTCTTAGCTCCGTGGACAACCAGTAAGGCCCTTCCCCTTATTCTACAACTGACCAAGATTTGATGAGTGTCCAAGGTGCACTGGACATGCTCCAGGGTCAAACTGACTCCTTTGCCAGAGTAGTATTAAATCATGCCTTTTCCTAAAAGTGCCTTAGGGAGAGACTCTATAATAAGGGAAACAAACCACAAACACCTGGTGAAACTTTTCAATCTTGGGGACCTTGGCTAGGGCCCAACATAGGACCACCAGCAGCCCTAACGTTACTGCTTTTGGTTGGCCTTGTAAATTAATTAGTTTACCTGATTTACCTCAGAAGATCACATATAATGTGCTCAGCAAAGATTTACCAAAAAACCAAAAGAGGGGAGAAATGTAACAGAAAATGTCCCCTTGCCAGTCTGTTAGTTGCCAGGTTACAGTTCCTGTTACTTCTGTTTCCTAGAAACAACTGATGACTGTGATGGATAGCTGGTCATTATGATGCATATCCCCAAGAACCAGTCCCCAATTGTCAAGCCATTCTGTCTGTGTACTTCCTGCTTGCTTATCCTATATAAGCCCTAGACCACCAGAGATCAGGGTCTGATATTTTGGGAATGATCTCAATCAATATCTGTCAATGTAAGTAATCTGTCTCCAAATCCTGTGTGTTGTCTTGCTTTTTGTTTGCTGTAGACAAAAAAAAAAAAAATTGGTCACACTGATATATGGATACAGATATATAGTATTTACATGATAATCTGTATAATAAAACAATGTGACAGTACTGAGGTCATGCATATAGATCATACTGTAAGTGTAATTGGGCTTAACTCAGCTGCTAAAAAAAAAATATTTGCATTGTCTTTAAAAAGGCAAAATCTAATGCTCTGTCACATATCAGAGATATTTCTAGCACAAAAAGCTTTAAAATGGTTCAAAACAGAAGGTGGGGAAAATGTATGTGTAATCAAAAGATAAAACTGACAAATAAAAATGAGTCATTTTGCTATCCAGCAAGGTTGAATCCAGACCAAAAGAAATTAAATGAAGCAAAACAGACACTACCTTCTTCTAAAGTCTGCAACTCAGAATGAAGATTTAACAAGAAAGACTCCTAATGTGTGCAGTGACTTAGCAACAACTTTCAAGAAGCAGAAAGCATAGGAGATGACAGGAAAAATATACAGAGCTACTACTTAAAAAAAAAAAGTAAGTTTACCATGCCTATATCCATCCATCCAAGACAGATCACCCAGCTGTATAGATACACAGCTGCAGAGATAGATGACAGATAAAAATAAGGAAGCCTACAGAAAACTTAAGAAGCAAAATCACTAAAGCAGATCTTATAGATAAATTAAGAGATGAGTGTCCACACTATGACAGACCACCCAGATTATCCTTCAGAAGTAAAAGACATAACTCCTCACCCACTGGAAGTGCCACCAGTCGTCATCCCTCACCTTCCAGCTGTTGTGTGGCTTTGCCTCTGGAGATGAAAACTCAAGGTCATACTTCCCACCGCCAATGATGCAGTAATGTGGAGCTAGAACAGCCCTCCTGTCACCACCATCCCCAAGTCAGCATTTCAAAGACCTTTTCCAGCCCTAAAGCTCCCCCTAGTCTTGGGTAGGCCTCCCATGGCTCAACTCTCCACCTGCGCAAAAAGACACTGACGTACCATTTTTCATCTGTCTTCTTGGGCAAAAATCTGGAGGTGTGAAAGTATAGGTTGTTGGCAACGTTAAAGAAAAAAGGACTCATGCATTGCTCATGGGAAATTTAGTAATATCTCACAAAATTATGTGTGCATTAACCTTCAAAACTGGGAATTGATTTATTCCATAGATATGCTAATGATAATATGAAAAGATGTATGCACAAGGTTATTTATAGTAGCACATTCATAATAACCACAAAGTACTGGAAACAATTGACAATGTCTTAGTCACTTTCCTGTTGCTGGGACAAAATGCTCAACACCCTCAATTTAAAGCAGAGATTTATTTGGGCTCACAGTTTCAGTCCATGCATGGTTGGCTGGCTCCAAGGCAGAAACAGCATGACAGAAGGGCGTAGTAGAAGGGCATGGTGGGAGCATATGTTGGAGGAAAGCCACACAACTTATGGCAGCCAGGAAGCAGAAAAAAAGAGGGAGAAGCTAAAGACAACAATACACACTTCCAGGTCATGCTCCCAGTGACCCACTCTCTCTCTCTGATCAGTCTTCACCTCCAAACACAAAACCTTCAGGGGATGTCTTAGATATAAACCATCACAATCAATAAGAGATTGGTTAAGTCCACCAAGTACATCCCCATGGTGGAGTGTTATGTAGCTATAAAGAGAAATAGGGAATAACCTTTCTCACAAACATGGAATGCTCTCCAGATATTAAGTGGGAAAATCAAGGAGAAAGATAAGTACGGATACCATCATTCATTGAAAAAATGAGTAGGGATCAACTTCGGGGATTGATGACAGAGTGGAACAGCAGAGAAACAGTCTCTCCAAGATTTGGTGTCCAGACTTGAAGCACGAACTGAGGTGCATAGGGAGAGCAAAAAGAGACTTCAGTGAAGAAAAGGAGGTAGCAAAAGCATTTTCTCCCTGATCCCTGACTCACTGCGTGGGAAGGGCCACTCAAAGCAGCAGATGCACAGTGACTGCAGGCAACCCCGGAGGCCTCCACAGAGAAATACACTAGTGGAATGGAGCAGCGGGCACAGCAGACTGCAGTAGCTGGTGAGTTATTTGGGTTCTGACATCCCCCAGGAGAAGGTAATTGGCCAGGAGCCATCCTGGAGAGGGGCCCACTGAGCTGAAAACTCAAAACAACTGCTGGCTCCATCTAGCAGCTCCCAGGGTCAGAGTGAGATAGAACTGAGTTTGAGTTGGTAGGAGGTCAGGGAGCCCAGTTAAAGCCACCAGGAAGCTGAGTTCAAACCAGCAAGAGGCACATGGAGTGTGGCAGGCTGAACAAACTGGGTTCCAGCCTCACAACCAGAAACCAGCATGAACTTCAGTACAGCTAGAGGTGGAGGTTTGCTGGGATTATCCACTACCCCACTATAAATCTACAGCTGGTTTGCTGGGATTAATCAACACAGATATGAGCTGTTCAATTTGTCTGCCAGTGACAGCAGAGACCCCTTGAGGTGGACATTTTTTCCTTATTTTCTTCTTTTTTTTTCTTTTCTACTTTGTGCTTTTGTTTTTCTTTGGTTTTCTTTTTCTTCTTTATTTGTTCTTGTTTTTACATGAGTGTAAACATGGTTTCTAGTTTTGTTGTTGTTGTTGCTCTATTCTGGTCTTGTTTATACTTCTTCTTTCTTTCTCTTTTCTTTTGCACAAGTTTCCCAAAATTTGCATAATCTTCCTTTGTCCTCCAGCCTTGTTTCTCATCTTTTCCTCTTCTTCTATTTCTCTATTTTCCCCCAACCCCTTTTAAATTTCTTCCCCTAAGGACAAAATTGCCATATTGAGGGCATATTTACTGTATATAATTTTCAGGTTTGTTTTAGATTTTTGTTATATAACCACAAATACAGTTCATATGATTAAAGGTAGCAAATCAATAATTATCACAGTTTGCAATTTTCTAGGCTGTGTTTGGTGCTATCACTATTATTCATTGTACAACTTTAGCCAGTGTGACATAATTGTTCTAATCACTTGTTCTTCCTGGTTTGCCAAGACTGAGATTGTATAAGGGTCATAAATAATACTATAGGCCAGTGCCAAAGAACCAGGGGCTAGGTCAAATAGTCAGCAACTTCTCATCCCCGATAAATTGAAAAGGTAGGATCTTGCAATAGACTCAAAACCCAAAAGCCAGTGACACCTGGAAGACATCTTTGAGAAGTAGTCATTTCCTAAAGGTTTTAATACTATCAATAAAGCTACTGTTATAAGCAATTTATAAGCATCAAGCCAGGAATTAAACTTAAAAAATAGAAAATTAGAAGACACTTAAGCAAGATGCAAGTCCAGACTTCCAGCTCACCAAAGACACTCAAGGGGCAATGTGGTGGAACAATTTGAAAGCCACCCACCTGGATTCTCTGAATTGATAACAGCAGAAGTAACAAAGCAGATGAGAGAAGCTCTAGAAAAAAATCAAATCAGAAGTGATCTCTCAGATAACTACAGAAATGGTGACCAAAATGAAAGACTTGGTTAGTAACTATAGAGCAGATACAGAAAAAATAAATAAATAAAGGAGCTTAGAAAAATTATGGGAACTATAAATGCCCAACATAGGAAAGAAATAGAATCCATGAAACAGATTCAAGCAGATATCCAAGAAATTAAAAATCCCATTGAAAGTACACACCACAGAATGAGCCCATGTGAGGACAGAATATCAGATATAAAACATAGGTTTGCTATTGGCAATCATAAAAAGAAAGATTTCTTAAGAATAACAAGGGACCACAAAAAATCAATCCAACAGCTGCTAGATGATGCAAATAAAAATAACATAAGATTGACTGAAGTCAATGAAAAAGCAGGAGATAGCCCAAATGACATAAAAAACCTGTTCACAAAAGTAATGGCAGAGAACTTCCCAAGCATAGAAAAAGAATTTGACACATAAATAAGCAAGGCATATAAAACTCCAATTAGCCTTGATCAAAACAAATCTAATGCCTGTGTGCATACCCAGTTAAACACTGAGAATAAAAATTGTTTTGGTGAACTTTGAAAAAAAGAACAAATCTAAAGCAAGGCATATAATAGTAAAGATTCTAGAAATTCAACACAAGAACAGAATATTAAAAGTTATTAGGACCAGGTGTGGTGGTGCATGCCTGAAATCCCAGCACTCAACAGGCTGAGGTTAGGAGGACTTCTGTGAGTTTAAGGCCAGCCTGGGCTAAATAAGGAGTTCAAGGCCAGCCGTGAGTGAAAGCCTGTCTCTAAATAAATAAATAAATAAGCAAGCTGTTAGAGAAAAGAAACAAATCAGCTTTAAAGGGAAGCCCATCAGAATCACAGCTGACTTCTCAACACAAACCCTCAAGTCAAGGAGAACTTGGAGTAAATTATTTCAAGTCCTAAAGGAAAACCTCCAACCCAGCTTGATGTACCTTGCAAAACTGTCTTTTAAAATTGATGGAGAAATAAGATACTTCCAGGAAAAAGAACAGTTGAAGAAATTCATGACCACTAATCCAGTATTCCAAAATGTTCCAAAGGACATTTTAGAAAGAGATAATGAGGGGCTGGGGATTTAG